ATGCCCCTATCTAGTGGTAGTCACCTGTAACTGAACTTATTCTGTAATGTTGAAGATGTTTTGTAGTTTATCCGAGCCACTTAACCTCAGAATTTATATCCACACAGGTGGCACTGACACCTTTACCTAATCACCATGGAGGGTGTGGATGTTATTGTCCAAAGGTGGTCATAGATGGCAAGTGGATGGAGGAATCCTCTGCTATGCTGTTATTGTCTGACAGTGGGGACTTCTCTGCTGTCAGAATGCATTGATCAGCGCTGCAGACCACTAATTGAATGATAATTTTCCAACTTCCTTTCAACAAAAATGTTTTGGAACGGCCATAGATGGATCGAAATTCTGCTGATCCCTACCCAACTGAGTGCTCCCAGAGCAAGCAGCTTGCACTCGTTTGTGCTCGTTCCCAAGTTGGCCTGTATGTCCATAAGACATACAGAGTGCGACTCGGCCCCGTCGCCTGCTCTCTCCTCACTGGCTGTGATTGACAGCAGCAGGAGCCAATGAGGAGGGAGAGAGCTGAGAGAACCAAGGCTCGTGTGCACAGTGCTGGATATAGATCAGGCTCAGGTATGTATTAGGGGAGGGGGGAGCTGCACACTGCACATAGAATGCTTGAAGGTAAAAAAAAAAACCTTCAGCCTTTACAACCACTTTAAGAACAGATTGGAAAGTGTACGTATTGTGGAACGCCATCTGTTTTAGTTAATAATCCCATCCTTGGTGTTAATTCTTTGATTTTTTATATGACTGAAGGTGTGAACTGTCAGAACACTTGGGTATACACTGAGACAGAGGCTTGTATTTCCAAATGACCCAACAACCACACACAAGTGCTTGTATTTCCAAATGACCCAACACCCATACACAAGTGCTTGTATTTCCAAATGACCCAACACCAATGCACAAGTGCTTGCATTTCCAAATGACCCAACACCCAAGCACAAGTGCTTGCATTTCCAAATGACCCAACACCCAAGCACAAGTGCTTGCATTTCCAAATGACCCAACACCCAAGCACAAGTGCTTGCATTTCCAAATGACCCAACACCCAAGCACAAGTGCTTGCATTTCCAAATGACCCAACACCCAAGCACAAGTGCTTGCATTTCCAAATGACCCAACACCCAAGCACAAGTGCTTGCATTTCCAAATGACCCAACACCCCAAGCACAAGTGCTTGCATTTCCAAATGACCCAACACCCAAGCACAAGTGCTTGCATTTCCAAATGACCCAACACCCATGCACAAGTGCTTGCATTTCCAAATGACCCAACACCCATACACAAGTGAGTTGACCTGGTACATACAGTGCAGGGTAGTGAGGAATGCAAATACCTGTACATTGGGGAGGTGAAGTAAACTCTCAACAAAGATATGGTTCAAACATAGGAGGGCAATTCAGCTGGTCAAGACAGTTTTCCTACACTTGAAGGAAAAGGGACATTTTTTAAGGATGGGGAAGTGCATGTTTTGGACAGAAAAGAAAATGCAAGAGGCTAGCAGGAGGTGTGAAAGAGGCCCTGTATGTGAAACTGGAACAACCATCATTGAACAGGCATAGGGGCCTTCAACACCATCTGCCTTCCTCATATGACACAATTTTAACATTTCCACCCCAGTGTTTTGACAACTATTCACTTCTTCAGCCATCTAATTGGAATAAATATTTGCCTGACACTCATTAAAATTGTCTTGCATAAACTACGAAATGTCTTCCACACTGAATGTTCCTAACTACTACTAAATGTATTATGACATGGATAAAAGAGAACCTTCATGGACATGCCCCTAAATGTAGAGGTCAATGGCCCACCTGTAATTCAAACCAGGCAGTATTGGGGTATGTAATAATATTGTGTTGGATTGAAGGAGTGCCGGTGTTTTACGTTTAAATAATATATACTACATGACTGCCACTGTTGGCATCTGTCAAGTATCCCCCTGGTGCTCACTATCCTCCTGCAAGGATGGACAACTCACCTGTTTTTGACGGGAGATCTGCCCATCTGTGGACACCCTAGGTTATCTCTGATAGTTTTGATATGAGGGTAGATCCAAGTTCTAATTTTTTGGAGACTTCTCTGCCATGAATCATTAACACCATGCTGCTGTTTACAGAACTTAGGTTAAATTTGTCATCCGTTGGTAAATGGAAACAGCTGAAGCATGAAGCACACCCGGGATATACAGGTAACTGCAGTATGTTTTTTCCTCTTCCCTGCATTCCACTTGTCACTGTGGCTGCCAGAAGGTGAGATCCTACTGCAGTAAAGGCTACCTTGTTATGGCAATTTGATTTGCTAGTGAGGGTTATTGATTCCTATAGAGCAGGGGTGTCCAAACTATGACCGTGCAGCTGTTGAAGTACTACAAGTCCAATCATGCCTTTGGGTGTCTTGCCTGTGGATGTCAGAGTCTTGCAAGGCCTCATGGGACTTGCAGTTCCTCAACACCTGGAGGGCCATAGTTTGGACACCCCTGCTATATAGTAAATCCTGCAGTGTACACAAGAATTCTGATTAAGCCCCTTTGTGGCAGAGAACTAAATGGGTCACATGCATCCCTGTATATGATCACAGTAGTGGGACTAAGCCTAGGTTCAAATCTGCACAGTTCTGCCTGCCATGTTTGCACAGTAGCCCATTCATTTCAAAGGGCTGCTGTACCTGCGTTTCCTGCAGGAGACAGGTCCCGGAACCTCTTCTTTTTTTTTTTTTTTTTTTTTTTTAAACATGGCTGCACAGAAACTGCATGGTGCTTTGCCTCCATATGGTTCTGCATGCCGGAAACCGCATTGCCTTTTTCAGTGCGTGGGGATGCCATTAGGAGTCAATGGGACCCCTTCGCATTTTCCTAAAAGCAAGTTCAGGTGCAGGAATGCATTCGTTTTACATGCACTCCCGCACCTTCACAGCTGTGAACCTGGCCTTAGTGAGAATAACTAGGGAGTCGCATCAGACATTTCACTGCTGGAATGTAATATGGTTCTTCAGTGACTGGAGGGGGGCAATACACATACTCCTTTCCCAGGGAGCCGTTTTATGGTTTTCTCAGTAGCAAATCATTGCCATTTGGTTGATCTTGGACACAGAATATTGGATTGTGTAGTTACACTTGAGCTTGCATCTGAGTACTTTGATTTTCCTACATCTTTGTTTTTTCTCTTTGCTGCACACACTGCTGCTAACTGTCCGTTTTTGTCTTTTTGTGGCTTTCTAGGCTTTAGATAGAGTGTAACTCCAATTTTGTGACAATTTTGATACTATGAAATAGGGTGGTGAAGTAACATATTTTGTGAATTGTGTTCATTACCTCATTTGTTTGCAGTGTATTCATTAGCTGTTTTAACATAATACATTTCCACTGATAGCTACAGGTCTCTTTTACAGCACCCAAAAAAGAGAGTTTTTAAGTATGCAAAAAATAATGAAGAAGGTCAGGTTCTGGGCCCACCCCATTCTGCACCTCACTTTTGGGTGATAAATGTGATTGGCAACTTCACAGATTTAGGTTTGGATGCTTTTACTGTTATTGACCATTTACATGCCTTTTACAGTATTTATAAGGTCATGTGGGTCTTTGGGGGTCAGGGGCAGACTGACAACTCATGGGGCACCCGGGCAATAGGGGATCGTGGGGCCCCTGTGGTCCTTGCCCAAACTCAAAAAAGCCTATGAAAAAGGTACCAGGGGCATCTCATGGGGCCCTCTACTGACCCCGGGCCCTCGGGCAGTGCCTGAGTTTCCAAATGATCAGTCCGCCCCTGTTGGGGTATAAGGAAAGTACACTTTCATTTTCCCTTTTTATTGATACCTGGCATGCAATACTGATTACATTTAGAGCTCATTTTTACGCTCTAAGGCTCCATGCACACGGGGCGTTTTAATAACGTGGGTAACGTTAGCTGTGTAAAGTCATGTTAAAAACTTGAGTTTTTCAGTGTTTTTTTGCATTGGCATTTTTTTATGTTTCTTACCAGGGGTTCCCCCCCACAAATTTTATTTTTGCTCAAAAAAAAAGTCCAAAAACACTGGTTTGCCGCATTTTTCAGCGTTAGAGCATTTTTACAGCTAAAAATCTCCTCTAGAAACCCACTAGTTAAGGCTTTTTTTCCAGCCAAAAAACGCCCCTGCCAAAAAACACTGATTATAGTCTGTGTACATGGACACCTAGGATAACATGCTGGGGAGTTTACTGGCTGTAGAAAAAAACACCAGAAGCCAAAAACAGCCGCTATAAAAATGTCCAGTGAGTGTCATCCAAATCCTTTTTTTTTTTTTATTAATTGGTTTGGGAAGGGTCAAAATTTATTTCTGCGTTTTTTTTGGGGGGTTTTTTTATCAGTGAAATATTCCTGCTTGTCCTTTCTCTAGAGAACACAGCAGGAATTAGTTTACATTTTCAGAAGATGATAGAAGTCCCATCTTTTGATAGTTACCAGTGGAAGAGGTGTCCCTTTCTTCTTCCACTGGGGGCAACTAAAATTCTTTTGTCTTCCCTTTGACAATGGTCCCTAGGACAAATAGAGGCTGCATGACTTACATGTCCATAACAATGCTGCTCTGCTCTTGATTAACTCAATAGTTAAACTATGTTAGAGGGGACCCTAAAAAAAAAAAAAACTTTTTTAAGCTAATGACACATTGCAGCCTTGCAACTTGAAATCAAACAGAGGCTAAGATGGCAGCATCCTTGGTTGTAAAGGATGGGGAGGGTTTAGTTCCACTTTAGGTCCCTATACAAATGAAACACAATAGATAATGAATACTATTCACAAAACTGGTTCTTTTCCTGCCCTGGTTAAGAATGTCAAATTAGCCAGAAAAGTGAATAAAGTTGGAGTAACCCTTTTAGATAAGTTATCATTGTCCATAAGAAATTAATATTTAAAGAACCTCTTTCCTACTGTTCTCTTGAAGGCTATGAGTCCTACGATTATACGTTTGACTATGGTCATGATTCTGCTGGCTTATACAGTTTTGTATCAGATTCCTGGATGACCTCATGCCCGGTGCCCTCTAATGATGGAGCAAAATATTTGGGACCTGGCAGAGATAGGTAACACATGGATGGACGTCCCTTGAGGATACAATGAGATGGCTTTATGAAAACTGGAGGAGATAATAGAGAACCTGTTAGGACAGAATTATGATCATTGCTGCTTGTTTTTTTTTTTTTTTTTTTTTTTTGTATTTTTTTTTAATTTGTTTACTTGAAATAATGTCTCACCAGTTACTGACGCTGTGAACAAAATGACAGCCATGGGTGCAATACCTTTAGTAGAAAGACAACAATGGCAGCTCCTGTAGTTCTGTCCCAACAGATTCACTTTAAAGTGAACTTGTCACTGTTTATAGTGTTTGCAACTTATTGTATAATTTAAGAGCCAGCACCCATTATCCTGATATAAACACTTAAAAGTGAAGTTTGAGAATAAAAAAAACTAAACAAAAAACCATCTATATACTCACCTAGGTGTATACTGCATTGGTCCAATGCAGCATCTGTCTCCCGCTGCTTCTAAGAGAGTGAAATGAGTGATCAAAGACCACTGATTGCCCAGTTCTCGGTTTTCACTTAGCAGAGAGCCGGTGACTGACAATGGACAGGAACACTGGGCTGTGGAGGGGAAGGGAGTGGCTGGCACAGGCTCTCAGTGGCTCTCTGAGAGGCTGAGCCAGTTGCCAGTCAGGCATCTGGGTGGATCCCGACGTTAAAGTTGGGATCTCTCCAGAGCCTGGACTGGCTCTGTAACATCAGGCCCAGTGTTGTAACAAAAGGAACATTTTCCCCAGTACTTCTGTAGATATAAGGTCAAATGATAACCTGAGATGAAAGGATGTTTTTATAGAGCTGGGTACGCCTGAAACTAGACTTTGAACTCAATGAGCCAATCACAAATTTGAGTGATCATTTGACGTTCTACAGGGGGGTTTCAATGAGACAATGAATCCCAGTCTTTTAGTAAGTAATGGGGCTTCTCCAGCACCCTGTAGATGGTCACAAGGTCATCAGAGATGAAAGGGTCTCTGCATGAGCTTGAACTAAATTTGCTTCCCTAGGATCCCTGTAGATGGTAACATGATCACAAAGGGTGAAGGGTGATTTGGTACAGTTGAGAATACCTGAGATTTGTTTTTTTTTAGGTATTTATTTTAATTTTTCATCAACAGTTACAATAAACAAATAAGAATACAGGAGCCCCAGATTAAGAGGATACCTGAGGTTTTACCTCAAGCTCAGTGAGACAATCGCACAAACAGGAAAATAAATTTCTGATAGTCTGGCTGAAAAAAGACAAAAGTCCACCCAGTTCAACCATTTAAAAAAAAAAAAAAAAAGTTATAATCCTATACCCACAGTTGATCCAGAAGGCAAAAAACCCAGCAAAGTTGTTTTGTACTGTGGTTGCAATCATTCAACCATTCAAATTGCTTCAGCCATATATGTGTGAAAGTTAAAAGTCAGCAGCTACAAGAATTTTCTTCACCGGTCATTGGTTCCCAGCACCGACATCCTAATTGTAGGCAGCTGGCTATGACTGCTTGCAGCTGCACAGGCGGCTGCCCACCACGCATGCAGGAGCCTAAATGGTCCGGCAGTCCTTTGGGACTTGTGATGTGTTCCAGAAGGCTGCGGGCAGGAGGAGAACTGGTACCTGTCAAACCAGGTACCTGCTCCCTCTCCCAAAAAAAATATCCAGTGGAGGGAGGAGGAGGAAGAGCAAAATGTCCCCTTTTGGTTGCATTATTAGATATATTCAGTGACAGTTTCACCATAAAGTGTGGTGACCAATAAGATCCAGTTTTCATCCTAAAAGAATGACAGCTGGAATATGGATACCAATATAAATACATCTTTCCTCCAGTTTATTGTATTTATGGCCTTGTGTGTCTGAGTTGTTTGTATGGTTGAATGTATTTAGTGGTGATGGCTATTATGGATATAGCATGTACGGGGTGTATGATCTAATCTGAAAATCAAATCCTTTCATACTTTGCTGCATTTCCTGTCTTAACTCTTACATTAATAAATTTTAAAAATGCCACGGCATCAATAAAGTTAAGGGATAAGTTCACCTTTTAACAAAAAAATAATAAATGCACATTTTTTTTTTAAGGTAAATAAAATGTGCATTTCCTTTTTTTTTTTTTTTTTTTGGAGCCTGGAAAGCATTGTAGGACTCCTGCAGACCTGTCAGTGTGTCTGTGTGTTCATACCTCGTACGGGCAGGCAAATACACTCTGACAGGAAGAATTAATGAACTAATGAACTACCACAGTGCTCAACCGTGCCCTGTTAGTTCATTGAGAACCACAAGCCAACAGCTGCAAAGGCAAAGTTTTCCCATTCACAGAATATTGTGAATGAGTGACACACGGGCGAAGCCCGGCACTTTTTTTTTTTTTTTTTTTAATTGTGACAGCTATTGGGGGGAGAAGATCCCCCACTAGCTGTCAAAACGGGGGATCGGGGTGGTGTGGGGGAGAGTCCTTTCGTAACATGTTACATGTTACATCCTGAATATGGGTTTAACATGTTTGGAAAGGTGAACTTATCCTTTTAAGTTATTTTACAAGTACAGTTTTACTAAAAGTTCAGGGCTCTCATAGCCGATACCTGAATTTAAAACTTTATTCCTGGTAAGCAGATGTCTTCCTTCACATTGCTTGGCCTGTATGAGATCAGTGTAGTGCAGTGCTCTCCAAACTGGCAGCTGGGTGCGACCATTTGCTTGCCTTTGGGGTGCTTTTCCCCTTACTGTTACCAATGATGGGACAATATTGCCGCTCCCATGAAACAGTCAGTAGATCCCTTTTTTTTTTCCTTACATTCCCTGCTCACCAACCCTGGGACATGGTTTACACCTACTGTTGTTGGGACATTATCTTCTCCATCTGGCCCTTTGTTTAGAACCTTTGAAGACACCTGGCATATTATGAACATTCAGCTCTCATACATCACGGAAGGTCAGGGTCTGTGCTGTAGGTGTTGACTTTACCAGCAAGAACTCTGCCCTCCTGTCCTCTTCCCTGAATAGAAACCCAGCTTTCCTTTTTGTCCAATGTAGATTCAGTGCTGGCCCTATATAGACCAGGTAGGGTAAAGGAGGACTTCTGGTTACCAGAGGCAAGGGGTTACACATAATTACTTCCAGGACATATCAAAGCTATTGTGGCCTTGCACTTTTGTAAGATCATTGCTGCAGTTCTTCAAACTGCACACAAAACCATTAGTTTACTTTTAGGTGAAAGTTGATTAGAGAACCTTTTGTATGTCAAGTTTTGCCAGCTGCTAAAACCACCATGTGAAGATCACTGAATATTTGTCCTTGCAATCTCATCTACTTGCTGCAAACATTTAGGATGTACCCTCTTCTTCAAGGTCCAAGCAGGACACTTAAAGAAGGGGAAACAACCCCAAAAGCGTGTCCTGAAAATTTGGATGTTATTGAAATAAAAAAGTATCTTAGACTGTACTAAAGTGTTTTTGTTACATGTGCACTAATACGGCTACAATCACTTCAAGTATCTACTTGCTGCAAATATTCTGTGTTAGTCCCACTGATTGCACTGGTGACCTTTTGATACACAGGCTGAAACAGCAATGGTAGTAGTGAGACAAGGAAATTATCAGGGTAACTTTATTATAGGGGGTTTTAGCAGCAAGGTTCTGTACTTTTAATATCATTTTCTTTAGTCACTATGCACCCAAAAATAGGACTTCCAATAAAATATATCTTTCTACTTTTTTTTTTTGGCTATCTTGGCTAATATCCAAAATGTTTTTTTCATGTAATCTCTGTTGAACAGCTATGGTCCCTACAGTCGAATGGATCGAGGTAGCTATGGGTTCTCTGAGCCAGAGAGAGCATATGGAAATCGGAGAACTCAGCACCCTTCCCACCTTTCTCAGATGGGGTGGAGGGGGGATACAAGACGAGAACTCGGAGGTAATTTCAGATCTCCTCCAGCCATTAGAGGATCTGGCCGTCCAATGCCACTTCTGAACCAAGGAACATTCCGAGAGCTAGCTGGTTTCCAGGGACTAAGGGCATTTACTGGCAACTCTTACTTCGGTGGAGGATTCAAGCAGAAGTCCAGAAAACTTTGGAAGGAAAAAGTGCGTACAGTAGCTAATCATTCACTTTAAGAGCAAACTTACTGTTTATCATGGAGCAGAGGCTGTTTGTTTGACTTCCCCTTTCAATACATTGCAAGCTGATCAGTCACTAATAATTTAACTATGAAACAGTAAAATTATCCTTTTTTAGTGAAAGAACAGGTCTTGTCCATTGCAACCAATAAACATTATGAAAATCTAAATGAATACTATAGGCAACAATTGCCATTCATCCTTCAGAAATACATCATTAAAAAAAAAAGAAAAAAAGTCAAATCTTGTTCAAAAGGTAGTCTTTTATCTATCCCGTTATTTACATTGAAATAGCTATTTGCATAAGTGAGAGTTATTAAAATTGACCCCTAAGGCATCTTGATGAAAAGCTAGAGGCTTTTTACGAGGGGCGTTCAAGTCAAACCAGGACTTTTAGTTTTACAGGTATAAACGGCTACTAGCGTGGCGTTACCACACGCAGTAGCAAGTGGTAAGTGTGTCCTGTAGCAAACTAGCTCATCAGAGTTGGAGCGGAGTTCTCCTTTTCCATTTTTTCTCTTTTTATTCAAGATATTTTCTATTTCTCAGCCCTCATTCCCTACCTCCCTCCCTTCCTGAGAGGCAAACGTTATCTCCTGCCAGATGGTGTGGGTCAACCAGGTTAAGACATCCCTGGTTTGGTGCCAGTTGTCTGGGGAAACATGTAAACTTTCTCCCCCATCGTAATCAAGATAAGATAGCTTCTCTCCCGGACTTGAAAGAGAATTGAACATTCCTCAGGTCAACTGTATGTTTCATATCGTGGGGTATGAAGCTGTAGTTTAATTCAGAGTTTCCCACTGACCACTCCCAAAATGTATAGTCAGAGCCCACCTCCCTTTGAGAGGGACTTTTAAGAAGAGACAAGCAAGTTTAAGTTTTACACAGATCTCCCAGCTAACATCGAAGGAGGGGATAAAGAATCGTCCTCCGCAACTTGGATCTGCAAACCCAGGCATATGGGCAAGTAACCCTGTAATTTCCTCCCTATTATCTCTGCTGTATCTTTATATACATATATATATTTTTGTGACATCTTTGTAAATATTTTATTGCACCTGTTTGACTCTTTTAGTAATAAATCTTTCTTTCTGAAAGTGTTAAACTGTTTTTTAAAGCGCTTACCTGCAATTCACGAATTCCTGCCTTTTGAAGAGACGCTACTGTGTTTGTTTACTCCCTGCCCAATTGACCATATTGGACAGGTGACTTTTCAATCATTATAGTGTATTTCTGACAGTCCGTCTTCTCTGTACACTTCAAGACGGTGGTGGCAGTAGAAGGGTTAGTTGCGTAATTGACCCGACCCAGTAACAAGCGCATTCAGGCTGCAGGCACCGATTGTAGCCCATTAGCTGGACAATCGCTGTGCAAGGTGCAGCTGGGTGGGGCCTTGTTACGCGCGTCACACCGCGGTTTTAGATCGGCCGGTCCTTCGGTCACGAGTTTTATGAGAAGGTCTGGGGTCTGACGCCGTGGGCATGACGTATTACTGTTAGTCGCGGTCGTGCGATTGTCGCATGTTGGTGGCGGCGACCGTGGATCCGTGACATGTCCTGTTACTGTTCCAGAGACCGTAAATCAAGATGGCAGACAGCAGTGTTAATGCGTGTATGGACCAGCATGTGGTGATGAAGTTTCTTATGAACGAGGGCTTAAAACCTGTGGTTATCTATAGAAGACTTCAAGCACAACACAGTGATGAGACACTCAGAGGCAGTAAGACATTTGAATGGTAAACGTGTCAAAGATGGCCATATGTCCATCAGTGACGATCCCAACCATGGGGGTCCCCAGTCCACAGCAGTCATGCCTGTGAACATTGAGCGCGTGGAACGCCTGTTCCTTGATACTCGATGCCTAACCAGTCATGAAATTTTACAAGAGACAGATCTTTGTAGAAACGGTGAACACAATTATGACACAGTAAAGCAGGCTGTCCTAGAATGGTTCAGGTGTATTGACAAATCTTTCTGTGCTGAAGCTTTCCAGGCATTTATTAAACGCTGGGATAAGTGTATAAATGTAGCAGGGGAGTATGTCAAAAATAAATGCAGTTTTCACTCCTTGAAATGTATTATTTTATATTATAAACTCAGAAGTCCCAGTTTTACTTGAACGCCCCTCGTAGATGCTTGCCTTCCTGAATCCTGAGGTCTGAAAGGGCAGTTACCCCAAAGATAATCTGCCTGTGATTAATGGCAAAGTCCCTTAGATATGACTGGATTGTCCTTTCAGCCTGTATTAAAATCATCTTCAGTCATTATCCATGCATGTAGATCTATTTGGATGGACTCTCTAAATTTCTTACATGTAAATCTGTCACATGTTTAGCACAGCTGGGTCTCCCATCTGGTGCTAGAGGGTGCCATTACCTAGCTTTTTGGAAGGGCTGTCTCTTTCAGAACAGGCATCTAGCTGTGCTCAGGTGTGCCTTGCCACTGAACAAGTTGCTCTTTAGGGGTGGCAACCATCGATGCTGGATGGAAGCATCAGTTGTGTGAGATGGCAGCTGAGTTCTTGTGTTTGAAAAAGTAAATGGAAAAAGCAGGCAATTGGGAGGGAGCCATTAGAATTCTGCACACTCAGGCATGGAACTTAGTGTTGGTATGTCGATATGAGAAATGTTGTATTCTCTACTTTCAGAAGAGGCTGGGAGCAGAAGGAGGAGGACCAGTAGAGAAGAAGATTAAGACGAGCAATGAGGGTGATGGAGCAAAAAGTGAAGAGTCTGAATCAGAAGGAGGTGAGATGCTGATGTGTGCAGACATGCTGTGAAATATTTTGTGGAGAGATTGGGTTGGATATGTAAGTGCTCCCATTGTCCTGCCATTGTCCATCTGCTGGAAGTATATGGCAGTATAGCTGAGGCAGACCTAGATCTCCAATTAAGTTCAGTCCGATTTGGGTGGACTCAGTTTGGCCACCCACGACTATGAAATTCCTCACTCAGCAGTGTACAGGGTAGAGGCTTGAACTGGTTTATCTGAAGCTGTTACCAGCTAAAAGTAATTGTTAGCCACAGCTAGACCCATAAGCCAATCGTTCACCGGAAACAATAATGGTGACTACCAATTACAATTCCCTTCAAAATAATATCTGTCACAGTCATGAGGTTACCCACAACATACCCAACTCAATGAAATTCAGTGTAAGTCCCTACTGGGAGTCAGCTTTGGGCATGCATTCGTGTAAGGATATATTCAAGCAGGTTTGTATTCCTGCCAGGCCAGTGACTAACGAGACATCTGTCCATTGTCTATACTGCTGCAACCTTCCAATTTTTCTTAAATGATTAATCAATGTTCCTGGGCAATGCACATGCATTTAGCACCTTCCTTTCACAGAAAACTTGATGATAACATTTGATTGTGGCATTCAAAGTGCTTGTTTGAGTACCCCAAGGTATCGATAGTTCGATGGTCTAGTCCTCTTAGATTCAGAACTCCACTACTTTATCAATGTATGGGGGCAGGAAACACGTTAATTAGGATTTTGGAAATATAGGTGATCAATGAAAAGGCAAAGGCATTCTTTGACTACTTCTGATTGATGAAGTGGGTTTTCTTCAGAGCTAAACGAAGCTCAACATCATCCAAGCTCATTTTTTTTATAGCATCAGTATAATTGACATCACTGACCTAGGCAGGCAAACCTTTCTACAGACGTCTTTCCAGTTTTTGAGTAACAGCAGTGTCTAGTGTGGGGATAAACTGCTGATTGTCAAATCCATCTTTCCTATCATTTTATACATTGGCATATGATGGTACCCAGGCCAGAAGCAGCCAGCTTCCTACTTTGCATACACCTTTGCTGAATTTGTAGTAATTTGAAAATCTGTGCTTTCAGATGGAGAACAAGAAGGAGCAGGAACCAGCACACAGACAGTAAGTCCCATAGTTGTAATAAAATTGCGATGATTAAACAAATAACATGGGCACTACTGCATAATATCAATATTATTAATCCATAACCACTTCTCACATTCGATAGGGGAAGGTCAGTATTGAAACCCATCCCAAACTGTAGGTGAAAAATTGTACATTGTAAAAAGAGTTCTCCACTTCCAGGCCATTTCTGGCACTTTTTGTTCACAATCAGTATTTCTTGCTAGAAATTTACTTAGAACCCCCAAACATTATATAGTATATTTAAAGCAGAGAGGCCCTAGAGAATAAATTGGGTTTTTCTAATTTTTATGTTGCATGCTATTTGCGCAGCGATTTTTCAAACGCAATATTTTGGGAAAAAACACTTTTTTTTATGCTAAAAAACACAAAACATAACCCAATTATTTGTAAAATATAAAAGATGTTACGCTGAGTAAATAGATACCAAACATGTCACGCTTTAAAATTGCGCCCGCCCCCGTGCAACAGCAACAAACGACGTAAATTTACTATCCATATGTGAACTTTACAGGTTACCACTTTGAATTTACAGAGGAGGTCTGGTGCTAGATTTACTGCCAATGATCTGATGTTTGTGGCAATACCTCGTGTGGGACGATCGCTTGTGTGCATGCAAGACCATTGCCTTTGCGTGCAAGCACAGGGGAACAGGGATACTTAAATTATTATTTTCTTATTTTTATTTTTTTGTTTACACGGTTGCTTTACATTTTTTTAATCAGTTTTATTACTGTCACAAGGAATGTAAACATCCCTTGTGACTAAGATCGCTGTTTAGTTACGGGTCATCGCATTCTAGTTTACTATACTAGTCAAACAAAGCTGATCCGGTCCTTGTCTGGCTCTGTGACCGCCATCTGGTCGATCGGAACCCCTGCTGGGATGAGAGCTTTTGTTAAAGCCGTGGAAGGGAAGAGACGCCCCGTCTTGCTGCTTGTAATAGTAATCAAGTGACTAATTAGCTTGCTATACTCTTGCTATTAGAAGAGAAATGAATATCGGCTCTAAAAAAACAGTACAAGGATGGTGCCGGCAGCTGCAGGCATCATCCCAGTATAACGACTCCAATTCCAGCAACATACGGATATGTTGCCGAAGCTGAAGTGATTGTACATGGATAGCCTTGTTATTGCTAAAAAATTACATTAATATGACAGAAACAATCCTAAACGTCATATAAGTCATATAGGACGATTAACCCAAAACCATGAAATAAAACCATACACTATAGAAGATGTGTATGTATGTGTGTATATGTATATATGTGTGTGTGTGTGTGTATATATGTGTATATATATATATATATATATATATATATATATATATATATACACATAAATACAGTTGTGTTCAAAATAATAGCTGTCAGACATCACTAACCTGATCATTCACTGTTTTTGGTAGAAATGATATTTCTACATGGCAAATAATTTACTAGCAGTTGTAGTAGAGTAATAGAAATCCAACAGACCCAACAGTCATGACATGCATGCTGCTGATTCTGTGTAATTGAATCACTAATCGAAAGGGGCATGTTCAAAATAATAGCAGTGTGGAGTTCTATTAGTGAATTCATTCATTCTTTGAAAAACAGGTGGCAATTATTGCCCTTATTTAAGGAAGGAAGGCAGCAAATGTTGTACATGCTGATTACAGTGCATTTCTCTCTGAAATTTTGAGGAAAATGGGTCGTTCCAGACATTGTTCAGAAGAACAGTGTACCTTGATTAAAAAGTTGATTGGAGAGGGGCAAACATATAAAGAAGTGCAGAAAATGATAGGCTGCTCAGCTAAAATGATTGCAAATGCTTTAAAATGGCAACCAAAACCTGAAAGACGTGGAAGAAAGCGAAAAACTACCATTCGAATGGATAGAAGAATAGCCAAAATGGCAAGGACTCAGCCAACAATCAGCTCCAGGAAGATCAAAGAAGGTCTAAAGTTACCTGTGAGGACTGTTACAATTAGAAGACGCCTATGTGAAGCCAAGCTATCTGCAAGAAGCCCCCGCAAAGTCCCACTGTTGAAAAAAAGACGTGCTGAAGAGGTTACAATTTGCCAAAGAGCACATTGACTGGCCTAAAGAGAAATGGAGCAACATTTTGTGGACTGATGAAAGTAAGATTGTTCTTTTTGGGTCTAGTGGCCGGAGACAGTTTGTCAGACGACCCCCAAACACTGAATTCAAGCCACAGTACACTGTGAAGACAGTGAAGCATGGTGGTGCAAGCATCATGATATGGGGATGTTTCTCATACTACGGTGCTGGGCCTATTTATCACATACCAGGGATCATGGATCAGTATGAATACATCAGAATACTTGAAGAGGTCATGCTGCCTTATGCTGAAGAGGAAATGCCCTTGAAATGGGAGTTCCAACAAGACAACGACCCCAAACACACCAGTAAACGTGCAACATCTTGGTTCCAGACCAACAAGATTGACGTTATGGAGTGGCCAGCCCAATCCCCGGATCTTAATCCAGTAGAAAACTTGTGGGGTGACATAAAAATGCAGTTTCTGAGGCAAAACCAAGAAATAGAGAAGAACTGTGGAATGTAGTCCAATCATCCTGGGCTGGAATACCTGATCACAGGGGCCAGAAGTTGGGTGACTCCATGCAACACAGATGTACAGCAGTTCTCAGAAACAGTGCGACTACAACTAAATATTCATTAAGTGATTCAAAGGAAAGCAAAATCTTCAAACATTTTTCAGTTTATATAGTGAATGTTTTGAGTTTGTAAAGAAGAATACAAACACTGCTATTTTTTTGAAGTCTAATATTCACTTTTCTTCAATTGTTTTAGAGGAACAACACAAATTTGATATATTTTTCTTCATGTTATGATTTCGAATAGAGCGTGTAGTGTTCCCAATGCATTTTGTGTGTATGTATGTATATATATGTGTGTGTGTGTGTATATATGTGTGTGTGTGTGTATAGATAGATAGATAGATAGATACATTCACATAATCAAAAACCGAACACATCAGAACTATCCGACAAGCTTAGCAGATATTACTGATCCAGCGGGAATTTGAAGAACGGCTGGTCTCTGTCAGGCTTATCCCTATGTGCCTGACCTCCCAGTGTCTGTCCCTCATGTGTCTGTAGGTAAGTAAAAAGTAGAAGTCCATCAAAGTAATTAGAAAATCAGCAGCACCTTATAACCTCCTGATATCGCAGACCTGATAAATACATGGCCACATTTTGGTGAAGATTAACTTCACATATGGAACTCTCACCTTTTACTGTATGAGTTCCATCAGCAGTACTTTAATCAGAATCCCTGACTGAGCAGATCTTAAGTAGTGGACCAGCACAGTGCCTCAGATAGTTGTGACTGAATCCAGTTATGGTCTGTGGTCAGCCACTAATAGTGAGCAAACCTTTCCAGTGAGCCAGCCATGACATTGGAGCCGAAACTGAAAAGGTATCGTATGTCAATTTTAATTAACCGTGAGGACTTTATACTAAGTAAGACTATATGGAATCTCTATTTTGAAACTATAGATAATATAATAATTTTCTACACATATTGTAAGACAATGCAGGAGTGTGTACACTGTTGGCATGGCTCACTCCCTGGCTTTAAATATTTTGTGGCATGGTTATAATGGCATAAAAGTCCCAAATTTCATCACCAATCTTGTCTCCAAATATCACCCAAACCGTGCTCTCCACTCCTCCCACGACTCCCTGCTCTCTTGTCTCCTCCCATGCTCATTTCCGGGACTTCTCCAGAGCCTCCCCCATCCTCTGGAACTCTCTACCCTAATCTATCCAACTATTACCTACTCTGCCCACTTTTAGGCAATCTCTGAAAACCTATCTCTTCAGGGAAGCCAATCCTGTCCTCAGCTAATAACCAAATCTTCTATTCCTCCTATCAGTTTATCACCCACAGTTATTTCCTTTTGTATCACCAGCCCCTCCCTCTTAGATTATAAGCTCCAAGGATCAGGCCCTCCTCACCCTCTTATATTGAACTGTATTCTTGCTGTATTGTCTCCCTTTATATTGTAAAGCACTGAGCAAACTTGGCGCTATATAAATCCTGTATAATAATAATAGAAGTAATAAACATGCTTCCTGTTAAACAAACCATATACTGACAGAATATGATGGCTGCCTGGCTGTCATGCTGATTCAATAAATTCAGCACTTTGAGGCACTGATCCAGGACATATTAAGGAGTTCTCTTCTTAGTCTGGCTTTCTAACCTGCATACCCTTTCTGGATCAGTGAAAGTACTGAAGCTGGAGACAGTTGGGTAAATAGCAGTCCCCTTATTTCTCACAGTATAGGTTTTCTTAATTGTTCTGCTCTAAGCATTAGGCTGGTGCCAGCAAACATCCAAGGCGTTATACTGGTTCACTGCATCAGATCCGCCTATCCTGAGATTGTCAGTAAACACTGCATACCAAGATCACTGTATAGTGATTCACATCAGCATTACAAATTGAGTGTTCCCAGTGGTCATATACAACATATTGTACATTTATGCTACACCCTGAAGTGCTTTCTTTTGTTCATCGAATCTTGGTAGAAAAAATTATTGCATAGGGAAGAATCTCAAAGTTCTTTTGTGCGTGCACAGAGCTCTACATGTTCGTGTTTTTCATACATAATCATCCTGCTCTGCCAGGCGACTTTTATATCTAGCAGGAAAAAAAGGTGACAGCAATATACATTCAGCTGCTCTTGAACTCTTCTGAAGCTGCTAATTTGCAGACTGTCAACCTGATCCGATGATTTTTAGGTATTTTACGATCACTAAATATGCAGACCAAGAACTCTGATTAAAGTGGAACTATAGGCACAACCTTTTTTTCTTTTCATTTTCTATAGAGCAATCCGAGTCCTATTGGGGAGATTTATTTTCACTTCCTGTGCCATAGGCAAAACAGGAAGTGAGAAAACCTCTGCAAGTTAAGGGAATTCCTTGGGGACGCCCAGGTCACCAGAACTAGTGTCCCAATTGAAAGATTTCCCCTCTATTACTTTTCTGAGGACAGCGCAAAATTTGGTTTTTTGTTTCTTTCACTTTCAATAATAATGGTAAACAGGACAAAGAGAGAGGGTGAATATCCCTAACGGGCATAGAGAGATACAGGGCAATAAAAACAGATGTTCTAATCCCTCTCAACTCTGTCCAAAACAAAAAAAAAAAAAGTTTTGTCTGTAGTTATACTTTTGATTGCATGCTGGTTTCAAGTTATTGACTAGGAGTATCCCCAGCAAGGTTTCTAGTTTTTTTTTTTTCATACAGCAATCAATAGTTGTACTGAGAAATACAGGCTACATGTTTATATACACACGTGCACACATGTATGTGATTAACTTGAAAATTGACAAAGCCTTTTGAAAGGCCATCTGAACTCCCACTAATGCTCCTCGTTGCTTCATTGGCAAAATACCTGATCCATCCTAGTATGGAGGAGAATATGACCAGCAAACTACATGCGATGCTCAGGCCTGAGTGGACAATCACTAGTCCTGAACATTGTTGTGTGGAGATGGGTGACATCACCATCCCTGTGTAAACGCTGACCATATCCGGCACTGAGCTTACACAGGGTTAGGACTTGCTTTGCTTTACTACTACTAATACTACTACTGCTAATACTACTACTACTACTTGTGCTTCAATGGTGCATCAGGGAAATCCAAAGAAGGCAAGTATAAGTGGGTAAGGCGGTGGGCCTTTTAAGAAACTCTCACTCTGTCCTAAACAATATCCTCTATTAATACGTTCTAAATGGTGTCTAATTTTATAATCATAAGTGCACTGGATAGCCACGTTTGATCCTTAGCAATGCCACATATTGATTGTGCTTTACTGATCCTTTTATCAATGCAGTCTCCTCCTATCAGTCTCCTTAAACTGAGAATATTAGACTCTCTGCCTTTCATTTATTTTTTTTTTCTTTTAATCTTGATGGTGGTTTAACAAGGATACCGAATAGCATGTCTGACATTTAAGTAGCTAATACAGGCAGAATCTACACATCTCCGTGTGATTTGGTAATGAAAATGAGAGAGAAGGCAATTGTGAACGCTGCAGTAAAATTACTTTTAAGTAACATTTTAGAAGTAACTTTAAGTGTGTACTCGCTGAAAATACACCATAATTTCCCTATATAATACAGTGTCGTTGCACATTTTCTCTTTCAGGAAGCTGAGGACAAACAAGAAGAGGCAGAAGAGACAGACAAGGGTGATAAGAGTATGCAAATTACATTTCTATTTACATAAACAAGTCACTTTATATCTTTATAGCAGCCGCTGCATTACGTCCTCTGTAATTACCAGTTCTGCTGCATCGAAAGTTGTCAAGCGGATATAAAGAACAATATTTGGGGAAGTGTAGATGATATCTGACCCAGCCTGCTCATTGTTTCTTTTTATACATGTCACCGTCTGCATCATGAGCTCCTGGCTGCAAATTGTGACATGCAGTTCTGAGTGCCTATAATAATTGGATAGCAGGCAGGGTTCCAGCAGAACATGTTGATCTGACAACCCTGAACCAGTGTGATAGGAGAGCCATAAACATGAGCCCTTATGTAGCTAGAGTCCTTTAGTTGACATGAAGATCTTACTCAAACATGAGAACTCTCCCTACCCCTAGATTACACCACCAATGCCCATCACCAAGCATGGAGTGCTGTGGCATGGAGTGCTTTACATTCTCCTTCCTAACCAGAAGTACCAGATATTTCTCTTTGCTGTCAGTTCCTGAACTGTGCAGTTGGGAAAAATAGGAAGGTGACAATGTGTTGCTGGGGAAAGGAATGTTAACATGAACATGGTGCTTTGTATCCGTTCTGGGGGAAAAAGTGCTTAGGCAAAGTCGTCTTCTTCCTCTGCTTGAAAGGCTAAGTTCACCTTTTCAAGATGCAATCAATGAGCCCCAGTGTGTAAATAAAAAAGAAAATACTGTTCAGGTTTGAAAGATGTTAATGATTGTAATTGCAATACCCGTAGGCCATTTGCACCTTTAAAGGTGAAGTGTAGCGTAAGCTTATAGTGCCTTCCCTTGGTCTCCCCTTTCCCCCCTAACATGCGATTAAAAATTTAAAATGCAATCATTTTTGATTTATCAATGAATCCCTCTTTTGAGACCCAGTGATCTCATTACTGAGTGTCTCTGCTACTGTTTGCTCATGTTTGGTGGAAATGGCTGGCAGGCTCCTGTAAACGTCAGAGCACTCTGCCAAAGATCTTTTTCAAAAGCGTCAAATGAAAGAACACATCTCCAGTATCCCTTTAGACTTGCCTGCTTCTGTCTGCTGTCCACTGGATAGTGCAGACCATAACTGTGCGGTTTACTGATTGTTTGTTTGTTTTTGGTCATGCCCATCTAAATAGATGCCAGGGATGTGTTCTTTCACATAAAGCTCTGAAACAACATGATTGATGGTAGAGAGTCCATAGCTGTGAGAGGGGAGCCAACAGGAGAGAAATGATTGATGAATGACTGAAGTTGTTCAGACAGGAAATTAAGGTGTGCTCAAGATAGCTATTGCAACAGGGTGCTATATTGTGAAATCAAATTTGCAAGGATTTGAAACTAATCATTTTCAATAGAGGGCTTGCTACAAGTGTGGGGGAAAAAAGGTAAGACTGGAGTTCAGTTTTAAGTTTGAGTTGTGGCTCAGGTACCTGTTGTTCTTCTACAGAACAGAAACCACCACCAACCAAGCAACAGCAGGAGATCCAGAGCAGACGTCTGCGGGACAGGATGGTGGAGAGGTAGGTGACTGAATACCTAAGGGAAACAGAGAGGCCTTTTAAACCAGTAAATATAATCAAAGTAATGTCTCTGTTACAGGATCCAATTTGTGTGTTCTTTGTGCAAGTTCCGCACCTTCTACAGTGAGGAGATGACCAGCCATCTGCAAAGTGAATTCCATAAAGAGCATTTCCGCTATGTAGGGGGGAAACTTCCCAAACAGTCAGCTGACTTCCTGCAGGTACGAATGACCTTCCAGCATGTTTCTACCATTCAGTTATCTCATCAGATTAAACATGCTGACATATCTAAAATGATCTTTGCCCAATTCAACCCAATTGTTGGATCAGGACATGATTTGTATGTGAGTTAGCTCTGTTTTCACCAATTGTCCTCTAGCTGGCCTCTGTAGTTTCCCCATGAGATAAATTAAAAGAGCATTATGGCCAAAGCTTTTTTGGCCATACCAGTATTCTGGGTCACAGAAGTGCACTTACTGCATTTCTACATACTTGTGACCCAAATTCAGCCAACAGCTTATTAAAGCCTGCAATCGGCTGACATCAATTATCCAGGTTCTGCAGGGATCCTGACTTTAATGTCAGGATCCACCCATATGCTTAACTGAGAGCCTGAGCCCGACGCTCTTGCCCCTCTGCAGCCAAGTGCTCCAGTGAGAGCTGGAGGGGCAGAGCAGAGAGCTGTTGGCTTATAGTCACTGCTTTCTGCAACAGTGAAGACAGAGAACTAAGCGATCATGTGATCACTCAGTTCTCAGTCTTACTGCTGGCAGGGGACAGCTGCAGCATCTGATCGATGCTGCAGCCATAAAGGTAAGTATGTAAGTGTGTGGTTTGGTTTGTTTTGTTTGTTTTTTAATTTCCCGCATTTCTCCTTTTAAGGGATGTGCTTCTGCTGCACCTCCTACAGAATATTCTTTGTTAGTCCAATCCTGCTTGCATGTCTTCCACAAACTGATGCCATTTACATTTAGACGAAATATCATCAGATCTATATTTCATATTGGGTGAATACACTGGGTGTAATTGTAACAATTAAATGTATTTTGTACCTTTCTCAGAGAACATAGTATTCCCCCTGACAATGCCTTCGTTTTCAGAAGGACAGAGCATCATGCAGGGTTGGCATCTAATTTCTCAACTGATATGCTGGCTCAGAGATGAGACGATCCTGTAAATCCTGGTGCCTGTGCAGCTCCTGGCTGTGGTTACATATCAACCCCTGAGGCAGCCTCACACCTTGTGGTACATTGTTGCAGTCTGATTACTGGGGAAGAGACTGAGACAAAGCTTCATCCTGCCTGCAGCAGACTGATGTCATTTTAGCATAGGCAGTGTTCCTAATCTGGAGCGCAAGGGTGGCTTTTTAGGGTACTGCCTTACAGAAAAAGAATACTGTTGCTGTATTTTGTGCCCTGTTAGGAATGGATTCATGCAGGCTTGTTCACTTTGAAGTGTCCCTTCAGGTCCTCCACAGCATGTACAAGTAACTGTTTCATCCTGAGATTCATTCTGTGTGTCTGGGGAGGACAATGGAAGCCTGAGTGGGCATTAGCTTCTTTCCAAATCTCCACCAAGCCTTGCCACTTCTCGCTCGAATTCTAACCATTTAAGGCCCCTTTCAGACAGGGCAGATTCCGTTCTGTTCAGCAGGGGATCAGCTCACAGATCCCGTACCAATTAAAACAGAGCAGGCGGATGATAGGTCCATGTCTCCTAAGTTTTTGTGGACTGGATGCAGAAAGAACCTACTCTGTTCTATGAGTGGCCAGAAGAGCTCCAAGCACAGTTTTCCCAACACACACGATCCTGCAAATGTCTTTTCAGTAGTGTTAGGTGCTGCAGTGACCACGGGCTTGGAACCGCAGACAATCCAAGAACAAGAATGTCACCAGCACACCAAGGAATCCTCAGAAGGGTCCAAAGCTTTATTTAGTAGTCACATAATATATACAGTGGCAATGATTTGGAGCAACGCAGGGCCCCTTTGTCAGAATGTCACCAGCACACCAAGGAATCCTTAAAAGGGTCCAAAGCTTTTAGTGGTCACATAATGTACACAGCAGCAATGTTTCAGAAACACGAAAAGGCCCCTTTCTGAGGCAAGTGACAAAGTGACATCACTTGCCTGACGAAGGGGCCCTGCGTGGCTCCGAAATGGTGCTGCTGTATATATTATGTGGCCACTAAGTGTGCTGATGGCATTCTTACGCCTAAACAGAAAAGGACAAATCCCCTTCCGTTTTTTTTGTGGACCAGATCAGACCTGGAGGTAGGCTGTTGTTGAAGGACACAAGTCCATTTTCCTGTCCGTAGGAATGCATGGACCTTCCAATCAGGTCCACTTGAAAAACTAACAAGTGGACCTGATTGGATTGCCAAAATGGGCCTAAAGGAAACATATCATGAAGAAACACTGTAAATTCCTTTTGCTATTTCCTTCTGACATTGCTGGTTGATTGGCTGTTTTGCTGATGCTTTGGCTTCAGTGCCTAGCCACTGACCTGAAACAAGTCCAGTGATGAGGAAGTTTGATCTTCCTATGACTTTTATTTGCTGCAGGTTTGTTCTGGGTTTGTGTCTTGGAAACATGGAAGGCAGACACAGCCAGATACATAGCTTTAGTATTTCTCTCTCATTATAGTTTTCCTTAAATTCTGGTTTTGTAACCTGTTCTGGCGTTACACTGGTAACTGGTAACTGTAGGGATTTATTTCTGGATTGGACAGAAGTAAAGACTGTGTATGGTGCCTGTGCCTAGAATCCAGGTTACTTCCCTAGGCATACAAGCCTATATCTGATGATAAATAACGCTTGGTGTCTGTACGTATCAATATCAATGTACCTATTTTGTTGGGCCTGTAGGGTAACCATGGACATCAGATGGTGGATAGTCATGTGTGCAGGATCAGATCAGACTTTGACGCCATATAATTATGTAAATATACAGTATCTCACAGAAGTGAGTACACCCTCACAATTTTGTAAATCTTTTATTATTTATTATATAATTATTCTTTTCATGTGACAACACTGAAGAAATGACACTTTGCTACAATGTGACATAGTGCGTGTACAGCTTGTATAACATGTAAATTTGCTGTCCCCTCAAAATAGCTCAACACACAGCCATTAATGTCTAAACTGATGGCACCCCAAGTGACAATGTCCAAATTGGGCCCAATTAGCCATTTTCCCTCCCCGGTGTCATGTGACTCGTTAGTTTTACAAGGTCTCAGGTGTGAATGGGGAGCAGGTGTGTTAAAATTTGGTGTTATCACTCTCATACTGGTCACTGGAAGTTCAACATGGCAAAGAACTCTCTGAGGATCTGAAAAAAAGAATTGTTTCTCTCCATAAAGATGGCCTAGACCCTGAAACTGAGCTGCAGCATGGTGGCCAAGACCATAACAGGACAGGTTCCACTCAGAACAGACCTCGCCATGGTCAACCAAAGAAGTTGAGTGCACGTTCTCAGCATCATATCCAGAGGTTGTCTTTGGGAAATAGATGTATGAGTGCTGCCAGCATTGCTGCAGAGGTTAAAGGGGTGGGGGGGGGTCAGTCTGTCAGTGCTCAGACCATACGCCGCAGACTGCATCAAATTGGTCTGCATGGCTGTCATCCCAGAAGGAAGCCTCTTCTAAAGATGATGCACAAGAAAGCCCACAAACAGTTTGCTGAAGACAAGCAGACTAAGAACATGGATTACTGGAACCATGTCCTGTGGTCTGATGACACCAAGATAAACTGATTTGGTTCAGATGGTGTCAAGCGTGTGTGGCAGCAACCAGGTGAGGAGTACAAAGACAAGTGTGTCTTGCCTACAGTCTAGCATGGTGCTGGGGGTGTCATGGTCTGGGGCTGCATGAGTGCTGGGAGCTACAGTTCATTGAGGGAACCATGAATGCCAACATGTACTGTGACATACTGAAGCAGAGCATGATCCCCCTTCCTTTGGAGACTGGGCCGCAGGACCGTATTCCAACATGATAATGACCCCAAACACACCTCCAAGACGACCACTGCCTTGCTAAAGAAGCTGAGGGTAAAGGTGATAGACTGGCCAAGCAGACCTAAAGCCTATTGAGCATCTGTGGGCCATGGAAGGTGGAGGAGCGCAAGGTCTCTAACATCCACCAGCTCTGTGATATCGTCATGGAGGAGTGGAAGAGGACTCCAGTTGCAACCTGTTAAGTTCTGGTGAACTCCATGCCCAAGAGCGTTAAGGCAGTGCTGGAAAATAATGGTGGCCACACAAAATATTGACACTTTGGGCCCAATTTGGACATTTTTCACTTGGGGTGTACTCACTTTTTTGCCAGCAGTTTAGACGTGGCTGTGTGTTGAATTATTTTGAGGGGACAGCAAATTTACACTGTCATACAAGCTGTACACTCACTACTTACTTTACATTGTAACAAAGTGTCATTTCTTCAGTGTTGTCACATGAAAAGATAGAATAAAATATTTACAAAAATGTGAGGGGGTGTACTCACTTCTGTGAGATGCTGTATATTTTTTAATAGGAATTGTCTGCCACAGACATGACTGAGGATTGTTCTTAAGCCCCAGTTGATCCTGTGCCCCAACAGCCCTCTTTCCAATAGGACTACATTTCTTAATTACCGTTTCAAGAAATAGGTACGTAGTTTGCTAGTATTCGGTTTACCATGTAAAACTACAGATCTTTTCTGTGTATCACCCATGTGTATTGGCCCATTGCAATAATGTTTATTGCACTTAACAGCAAAATAGTTAATTAGGTATCAGTGAAGACCAAACAAGAAAATTACATGCATCAGTTTTTCCCTTCATCTTCTTCCCCAGGAATATGTATCACAGAAGGCCAAAAAGACTGAGGAAAGACGTAATGCTGTTGAAGACCTCAGTACAACAATTCAGCAAATTTACCGGGACCAGGACCTTACCCAGTGTAATGACAGGTTTCTTATCTGTTTTATCCATTATTTATGTGCATAGACCTTATGAAAATTATAAGCTGCCATAGGCTTAAGAGGGCAGCCATTTGTGCAAGTATGATATCACCATAAGGCAAGAGTGTTCCAGAGGATCTGCTGACCTCACTGACTTTTTTTCATTGGGAGAGAACTGGAGAGGAGGAGGCTGGCACCTGCTTATCAGGAAGGAACATTACCAGTCAGGACAGAACGGGACATTTAACCTGGCTGGCCAGCAGTGTTGGGGAAAAACCATGGACTGAATTATGTCTGTGGGTATAGTTAAAGCCCAACTCTGGGCATTGTAATACTTTTTTCTTAGAAGCCAAGAGGCAGAGTATATATAAAAAATATATATATATATATTCAGCTGCAATTATTATTATTATACAGGATTTATATAGCGCCAACAGTTTGCTCAGCACTTTACAATATTACGGGAGACAATACAGCAACAATGCAGTTCAATACAAGAGGGTTAGGTGGGCCCTGCTCCTTGAAGTTTACAATCTAGGAGGGGCTACTGGTACAAAAGGTAGTAACTGTGGGGGATGGACTGGTAGAAGGAGTAGAAAATTCCATTATTAGCTGATGGCAGGATAGGCTTCCCTGAAGAGCTAGGTTTTCAGAGATTGCCTAAAAGTGAGCAGAGTAGGCGATTGTCTGATAAATTGGGATAGAGAGTTGCAGAGGATGGGGGAAGCTCTGGAGAAGTCCTGGAGACGGGCATGGGAGGAGGAGACAAGGCAGCTAGAGAGCAGGAGGTCGTGCGAGGGGAGGAAAGTATGGTTTGGATGATATTTGGAGACAAGATTGGAGATATTTGGAGATGTAATTTGGGGCAGAGTTTATTCCAGAGTTGCCCCCACAGTAATTCTAATATGCCACAAGATGCCCTCAAATTCCTGAGTTGAATGTAATTCTATCCGGAAGACTGAGAACATACTATGATCATCATGGTTACCCCCCCCCCCCCCCCCCCAGAGGATGTCACCACAGCACACTTCATTCATATTGTAAAACTAAGAGTTTGTCAGCACTGCTTTATGGATCAGCAGAAGACCACCTTGTCCCTGAGAAGAGGCATAGAGGAAAGAGACCCAATAGGACACCAAACTGGCCTGAAGACATCTGAACAAAGGCAACTATAAAAGACATGATGTATAACAAACCGCATGCAGGACTAAGCCCAGAGTTGAACTTTAACACACTGGTTGGATCTAAAGGGTTGTTAACCAAACCTGCATTATCCAAACCATGACTGCTTTCCATTCTGTCTGCCTGAAAAACGAGAATGGTGACCGGATCAAGGTTTACTTTTATAATAAACTTCAAGATTTGCATATAAATTTAGCTGCCTGTATCTCTGGATCTACTGATTTGTTTACTGGCATGCAGATTTCCCCAAACGTTCTGCTTATTAATCATTGTGTGTTTGGTTTGTTATTTACCTTGGCTATATTACAGGTTTTTCATTAAAAACTACTGTAAAGTACAAAAAATTAAAGTTATATGATGTCAACTATTCCATGACCTGTGTTGTCTGGCTTCAGTACCTGAAACAGCTATGCAACAAATGCCTCATATTCAGACCTTAGTAAAGCTTCATTCCGGGTTCCATATCCTCAGCCGCTTGAATGACTGGTTTGTGGTGACGTCATTTCCACACATGCACATGGAATTCATATCACCGCAGCACACTGAGTGGGCTGTAAACTTGGTCTGAGCTGCACATGCGTGGCTCAAGTCATATTTACCACTGACAGGTAGGGGGAACATTTTTCACAGAAAAGATCTCTGAGGTCTCTTCTGTTACAAAAACCCTGCCTATCAGTGGTTTTTATTATTTTGACTTTACTACCACTTTAAATTTGTTATGCTTCAGGATGTTGATCTGTTGCTATAGAAGGACCTAGTCAATATACAAAGCCATTTTTTTTCATTTTTTGCAGCCTTGGGAATGGAACATTTTGTGAAGAAGGTTGAGGCAGCTCATTGTGCTGCTTGTGACATATTCGTTCCCATGAACTTCTCCGCACTACAGAGACACATCCGAACCTCGCAGCACAATCAGAACCGCAGGGTGAGTAACCTGTGTGGAGCTTCATAGATGGGGAAGACATAACCCTTCATATAATTATAGCTGTTAGTACTGGGGATTTGGGTTGTGTGATTTTTGTCAGAGTTTGGATATGTTTACAAAGCAGTTTTTAGATCCCGCCTTTCATTTGCAAACAGCTGACATAACATTGCTTAGGAAGTGGCCAGCTTGCAGTGTCCCAATGCTGCTTAGGAAGTGGCCAGCTTGCAGTGTCCCAATGCTGCTTAGGAAGTGGCCAGCTTGCAGTGTCCCAATGCTGCTTAGGAAGTGGCCAGCTTGCAGTGTCCCAATGCTGCTTAGGAAGTGGCCAGCTTGCAGTGTCCCAATGCTGCTTAGGAAGTGGCCAGCTTGCAGTGTCCCAATGCTGCTTAGGAAGTGGCCAGCTTGCAGGGTCCCAATGCTGTGTTTAGATCATGCCACTCAGTTTTTTTCTCAGTGACGGCAAGGGGGGCACCCTGTCCCCCCCACAGCTAAAGTACAAGTAGATGGGCTTTCTATCTGTGTGGACTTTATTCACTGAGAGCCCTTCCAACACGCTGGAAGCTGGTAAATTGCTTAAAGCTCCTTCATTGTGTAATAAGGCAATTGTCCTGTGTGGCAATGCTTAGTGAATACTGGCAACTCATATATTTGTTTGTGCCTAGTGTGGCTAGCTGGTTTCACGTTGCAGTTCCTAATTTGCGCTTAATGTTATTTTGGCTTCTATGGCATTCACCCTCAGTCTTAGTTAGCATTTCCAAATTAAATGATAATTCTGTAGGTAACTAGGTTATTTCTGAATTGCAGATTTCTTAAAATTGTGAGTTGCTGTTCTGAATTGCCATGGGTTGGATCCTAGGTGACATTCCTGATGCTATGCACACAGACTATTTATGTGGTGCTCCTGGCTGATTCAATGTTCACCAATGGGTGTTAAACAGTTCTGGGGTAGTAAATGTGACCAGAATCCATGTATGCATTCTCTTAACCTAGGGTCAAACCAGTGAATAAAGATTCACTACGTATTGCGAGTTGCCAATTTTGTGGAAATAAATGATTTTCTTTTATTGCTGCACTTGCAGTGGATATAAAAAGTCTACACCCCTGTTAAATTGTCAGGTTTCTGCGATGTAAACAAATGAGACAAAGACTAAAATAATGTGGTTGCATAAGTGTGTACACCCTCTCATGACTGGGGATGTAGCTGTGTTCAGAATTAAGCAATCAAAATCATGTTAAATAGGAGTCAGTACGCACCTGCCATCATCTAAACTGCCTCTGATTAACACCCAAATAAAGTTCAGCTGTTCTAGTAGGTATTTCCTGACATTTTGTTAGTTGCATCCTACAGCAAAAGCCATGGTCCTCAGAGAGCTTCCAAAGCATCAGAGGGATCTCATTGTTAAAAGGTATCAGTCAGAAGAAGGGTACAAAAGAATTTCCAAGGCATTAGATATACCATGGAACACAGTGAAGACAGTCAACAAGTGGTCTGGGAGGCTGCCAAGAGGCCTACAGCAAAATTTAAAGGAGCTTCAGGAATATCTGACAAGTACTGGCTGTGTGGTACAGGTGACAACAATATGCCGTATTCTTCATATGTCTGGACCATGGGGTAGAGTTGCAAGATGGAAGCCTTTTCTTACAAAGAAAAACATCCAAGCCCGGCTAAGTTTTGCAAAAACACATTTGAAATCTTAGAAAAAGTATATGGGAAAATGTGTTATGGTCTGATGAAACCAAGGTTGAACCAACAATGAAACATGGTGGCAGCATCATGCTTTGGGGCTGTTTTTCTTCAGCTGGAACTGGGGCCTTAGTCAAGGTAGAGGGAATTATGAACAGTTCCAAATACCAGTCAATATTGACACAAATCCTTCAGGCTTCTGCTAAAAAGCTGAACATGAGGAAATGTAACTTTTAGCATGACAACGACCCAAAGCATACATCCAAATCAACAAAGGAATGGCTTTACCAGAAGAAAATTAAAGTTTTGGAATGGCCCAGCCAGAGCCCAGACCTGAATCCGGTGGAAAATCTGTGGGGTGATTTGAAGAGGGCTATGCACAGGAGATGCCCTCTCAATCTGACAGATTTGGCAATCTGTTTTTGCAGGGAAGAGTGAGCAAATATTGCCAAGTCAAGATGTGCCATGCTGATAGACTCATACCCAAAAAGACTAGAGTGCTGTAATAAAACAAGAAGGGGCTTCAACAAAGTGCAACTATATTATTTTTTTTTTTTACTTCCCTTCACCTAAATGATTTCAGTTTGTTGTTCAACTGAGTTGCGCAGTTTATAGGTTATATTAAAGATGGAAAAAGTTCTGAAATGATTTATCTTTGTCATTTTTTTTACATCACAGAAACCTGACATTTTAACAGGGATGTGTAGACTTTTTATATCCCCTGTAGATGGCATGGCTTCTCTCGCTTTTATTATTAAAGATTTAGCTACTGGCTGACATTTAACATCCCATTTATTTCAATGTTCTGAAATTGAGGTTACGGTAGTAGTAAAATCTCAGTAATAAATTTGAAAAGGTTTGTTCGATGACTTATTGCAAACAAATACCAGCTGATCCTGCTAGTAATTTAGTGAGCTGATATGTTCCTGAGTGTCACCAGCATTGTTCCCAGTTTTCTGGGGAGAGGAGGGAAAGGTGTTCTGTAGTCTTGCGGACTGATACTGCTGCTCCTCCAAACAGTACAGTAAATGAGCATTTACACCTTTGGACAAGAAGTGTACTACTCACAGGATCATCAGGTGAAAATAAAGGCAAAAAAGACTATAAATATAGTAAAAATAATGTAGTCATCACAGCCTAATGGCTAGTTAGCTGCCATATCCATTTTCTGTTCTTGGGATTAGATACCCATTAATTATTTGATTATATTATTATACAGGATTTATATAGCGCCAACAGTTTGCGCAGCGCTTTACAATTTAAAGGGAGACAGTGCAATTACAATATATTTCAATACAGAAGGAATCGGAGTGCTGTGCTTATGGAGCTTACAATCTAAAGGGAAGGGGAGGTGGTACAAAAGGTTTCGAGGGATAATATGATGGAGGTGGCCGTAGTACAATTTTTAAGTGGAGGTGGGGTAGGCTTCCCTGATTAAATGAGTTTTAATCGTACAGGGTAGGAGCTAACTGGACATACTAGTGTAGTGAGTTCCAGAGGATGGGAGAATAATAACCACATGTAGCCCCAGCCTTAGAGGGAAGATAGCTAAAGTATAAGAATAACATAGACAACAAAGCACATTTAGTAAGCTGTCAAGCTGCAGAAGAAACAGGTCTTTGCAGGTCATGCACATGGCAGATCATGCTAGCACTTGCAGTTCTTCCTCAGTTATGGGGCCTTCAGGTTGCATGTGCCTCCCTAGTGAGTTTGGTAAATGTCATAACAAGATCCATTTTGAACCGTTTTTGAAACACCACAAAGGGCTTTAGTCATAAACATTTTCTTATTCCTCCTCTGTGCTTTAGAACATGATGGAGAACTCGAAGAAGACAGCGCTGGTTGTAGCAAGAAGCATACTGAACAACAAGCAGATCAGTCAAAAGCTGGAACGCTATATAAAGGTGATGATGTAACACATACACAGCAGTCCATAGTCCAGGCACACGGGAATAGTGTTGTATGATGTCAGCTGAGTTGTTGCACACGTGCAGCTCAGTTTACATGCTGGAGAGTGTTGTGAGCAGGCAGGTAGGTGTATTTTATTGCAGAAGAGACATTGCATGTCTTGTCTGCGATAAATAGCCAGCCTGCTTGCAAGTGTTCTAAAAATGCCTTCAGTTCTGCCTTAAAGCCCAGCTGAAGTCTCACACCTGTCTCCCTCTACAGCCATGCACTGTTGCATGTTATGAACTGACTTTCACTTAGAAAAACCTTCTTTCTCATTGTTAGAATACGGACCAGGTCTGTTGTGTTATGGAGTGCCCTGGGCAGGGTGGTCATACATGGGTGCCTGTTGGACTGCACGTATTTATTTAGACATGCTATAGAGGCGCTATGGCAGTAAAGTGGACAGGCAATTACTACAATGTCTAGAGACTATTTTTCCTGGGGTGCACTGGCTAGGGTTTCAGAGGGAACCTGAGGTGGTGTGCTGAGATGCCTTTTAGTGACTGACATTTAGCATGTACATTTTATTGCTGAACCCTAATGACAAGTTTACCTTCTGTATTGTTATGCAGGGTCAGAATCCTTTCATAGAAGAGCAGGATGAGGCCACAGGAAGTGGCAGCACTGCTCTGGAGGCCACTGAAGGTCAGGAAATGGTAGATACAACAGATGGTTCCTGTGAAAATCCAGACTTCACAACATGCAGTTCTCCCACGGCCTCTGTACCCGAGACTGCGAGTTCAGAAGATGTCTCTGATAGAAGGATCACAGAGGAAAGTGAAATGTCCGCCAGCGGTGGTCAGGAGGGGGTTACAGATACCGAGGTTATTGGGGATTCCATTCATGAGCAATAAAAGTTCAGGAGAAAAAGAGATCAAATACTGGGGATCTTCCTGGAAGACATGGAGAGCGAGAATCTTTCACTAGATGACTTGTCATAAGAGCTACAATATGACCCATAAAAGGGTGCAATTTTTAAAGAAAACCTTTCATGAGGAAAAATATAGAGGCTTCCAATCTGCACAAAGTAGTTGCCTGATTGTTTGGCTGACTTACTAATGTTCTTTCAATCACTGACTGGCACAAGTACACAGATCAGGGCTTTTGACTGCTGCACACTTGTGCCAGCTCAGAATAGTAGCCAGGAATTTGGCAGCTCCAGAAGGATGTGCACAGTTATGGCCCTCATGTTTGTCTGGAAAGCTTTTCTTTAAACAAGTCCTGTCTGGGAATGGGAAATAGGCTGCTATTGCTGGCATCCTTTCTGAAAATGCCAGTTGTCTGGCTTTAAAACTATAAAAAAAAAAAAAGTCCAGCAGTAGCAGCCTTTGCCTTATTTTTTTCTGGCAGGTTTGTTTCAAAGGTGATTTTGAATTTAAATTGTGAATTCTTTTATATGTACAAAGCCCCTTCCATTTAGTAAACTGTCATTTCATCTCAGTAAAGAGCAGAATGTTTATCTTGTTTTGTTTTTTTTTACTTTGCTTGACTTGCTGTCTGTCATTCAGGTACAAGGTGTTCACAGATTACCACAGCAGCTGTCTGGCTGCGCTACAATACCAAAATTCAACAGAAAATCAAATCTGTAATTTTAGAATGAGAAAACATAATATAAAGAAAGGTCCCAAGCAGATGAATGGATTTCCATTACAAACTGTATATCCCTTTTATTGAATGTGCTTGTAAACCAGATAAGCATCTTGGAGGATAAAAGCTCAGTCCACCCAGAACTGATACTCCATATTTGCTACCTGTTGGTGCATTTAACCATCCAACAGTTTATTTCATCTCTCAGGGAACTAAATCGGTTTTGGAGTATTCATTGAATAGTGGCAGGGGTCATCTCTTAAATGTTAACTCTTTTTTTTTTTAAGCTCTCTTCAGTGTGAATCATGTCATAGGTGACCCATGCTCCTATTCAATAAATAAAGGTTGCTGCAGTATAGAGTGCAGTGATAACATGCTCAATCTGCCAGGTAAATGTTTACATTTCTTTTAGAATATGGAGAGTGCAGCACAATGAATAGAACATGGTGGACAGAAACAGGAGTTTGGTATTATGACGAAGTATCCAACACATTTAAAATGTTGCTCTGATTGAGGTGTGGGGTGGGACAGAACATACTCCGAGAGCAGGAGTGATTACAAGGCTCTTTATTGAAAGATTGGGGCTGACATAGATTGGATAAGGATCAGAGAAAACTAACAGTCAAGTCCACAAAACAGGGCAGTAGTCAGGACACAGAGCAAGGGTAGGCATTGATCTGGTACAGCACAGGTTGAGCCCCTTGCAGAGGGGCCCAGCCAGGGTTGAGTCCTTAGCCCTGGGGCCCAGCCAGGGTTGAGTCCTTAGCCCTGGGGCCCAGCCAGGGTTGAGTCCTTAGCCCTGGGGCCCAGCCAGGGTTGAGTCCTTAGCCCTGGGGCCCAGCCAGGGTTGAGTCCTTAGCCCTGGGGCCCAGCCAGGGTTGAGTCCAGAGGCACAGGGCAGCAATATAGTACAGCAAGGAGTTAGTCTAGAATCACAGGCAACAATCTGGGCGCTGAGAGTAGCAGGCCACAATCTGATACAACAGAGGTTAGATCTAGAGTCACAGGGCAACAATTTTGGCAAGAGGGATAAGCCGTAATCTGGTACAATGCGAAAACAAGAAGGAAACCGTCCCCTGCGCTCGAGAGCGGTATATTAGGATGGAACAGTATCTGGTCCTTCATGCATCCAGTGCTAGCAAAGGCCTTGCTGCCCTCTAGGGGTCGGGGGAAAGAACCCAGGGACGATAGCTGTAAAAATGAAAAAGAGGGCACACCAGCCTAGTGCATTACCTAAGATACCTTTAATAAATCTAAAGAAGATATATACTCACACTGTGATAACAAAGGCGTATCGAATTCAAAGCAACCAGCACACCAGATCAGCTCCCAGTCTCGAGAGAACCCTCCCACATGGCTGACGCGTTTTGAGGAGTAGTCTCTTCTTCAGTAGCTTTAAAGAAGAGGAGACCACTGGTTGCTTTGAATTCGATACGCCTTTGTTATCACAGTGTTTGTGAGTATATTTATTCTTTAGATCTATTAAAAGTATTATCTTAGGTAATGCACTAGGCTGGAGCGCCCTCTTTTTCCTATTTTAAACGCAATCTGGTACAGCAAGGGTTCAGGGACTCACCAGCCCTCAGCTGAGGAAGTCCAGGCAGATTGGGAGGGAAAAGGAGGTCTGGAGGGTAGTAGTCCTTCACAAACCCATTGTGGGTCCTTTGGAGGTCTGTGTGTCCTGGCCCTCAAGACAACACAGGCAGCAGTTAAAGGAAGAGCAAAGGGGAGAGTTGAGTCCTAGTGTCCAGAGAGCCATGCTGACAATTCGGAACTACAAGTCCCAGCAGAAAGCAACGCACAGCCCATACGGAACTACTTGTCTACAGTTACACGCGTCTTCTAGCCTCTTAGCGAGACCTGCAGCCATTCGCTCCTCTGTCCATCACCGAAGTAAGCTCTGACCAGTCTGACACTTTATCTGGTACTTTGAATTCAGCCAGAGACCTCCGCTCAAAGCTGGTGGTTCTGAAGCATCTGGCTCTGTCCTGGTACAGGATACAATGATTAATGCGCTATATACTGAGTGCAGCCTTATGTCCTACCCCCTGTGGGGACACAGGAACTCAAAAACCAAATTAGGCAGATGAGTTGACTTTGTTCCACACTGCATCTGGATTAGAGATTTCCAGTTTCATAAAAGAATAGAAAAATACTATATTTCTGACCTCCGTTACAGTTGCGGTTGACTGAAATGTCTCTTTGAGCTGTTTTACAGCTGACCTGCAGTTATTGTGTATATGGTGCAAAATTTGGTGTCATCTTTCAGTGTGTGTAGTCATCTCATGATCACCTCTGTATTACAGCTTTCTTGGAGGCTATAGAAGTAGATTGGCATGCAAGTACAAAACTGATTTTTTTTTTTTTTTTTTTTTTAATCGGTGTGCAAACCTGGAGATTATGTGATTGGCCTGTGTTAATGCTCTGAGAAGTAGGCTGTTAGGGTTTTGTATCCTAAAGATTTTTCCTTGTTCCACTGTCACATTAGGCAGCAATCAGCTAATGTTTCAAGGTGTGTATCCTTTATTTGGACAAATTGAAAGTTTCAGCCATATCTATGTGGAGACAAAAGTCTGGTTCTGCTGGTGTGTAGCATTTATAGGACATTGTTTTCTTGTCAGAGGAAAGAATTCATACAAATGTTTTGTGTAAGTTAAATCCAATACAGTAACAGAAAACGTGCCATAAAGATGCCGGGACTTTAGCTAGTTTCTTGTTTTCGTTTTGTATTGTTTTTTTTAACACAACCTAAACTTGTATTTGAGTTTTCTGGAAACCTAAATCAAAACCTAGAGCACAGGAGGTCTGACGCTGACTCTCCCTTCCCTATGGTCTGATCACAGTACCAGACGCACTTTTACACAAGTGCACATTTATAAAGGGATAAATGTGACCTTCACCAAACATACAAGGGTGACTTAATCATTCCCTGTAATTTAAAACGCATGCTCTAGGAAGTTTCACCTACAGTATTCCTCTTCGTGTAAGGATTGCTTGGTTATTACATTTTTGGTTTTTTTTTTGTTTAAAGTAACTGTGAGTCTTTTTTCTTATAAAGTTTATGGTGTTAAATTGACTGTTAGAACTGCTGTAGTAAGTTCCATTTTTTTTAACTTATCTGGGGAGCCATGAAGTGGGAATTTTGTAATATATATATTCTTTGGGGTTTGCTTTGCAGAAATGTTGTGTATGATAAATTTAAACATGAACCTCGGTGAATGATGAATACTTCTTATGTCCTATGATTTTTTTGTATGTGCATGGCTCATTTCATTATATTGCTAAAGGGAGCAGGTCAGGTTGGCTATTACATAGCATCAGTGATGTCCTGGGAATGCTTTTGCCCAAGTAACAATATCAGGGCTAGTTTCAGGACTAGTATGGCACTGTGCATGATGCTGCACAGGTGAGTGCTGTACTGCTCCTGGAAGCCAAACAATGCAGACTCCACTAGTGAATGAGCAAGAGGACTTTGATTAAATAAAAAAAAAACATTATTTTTCTACCTGGTTCAGTAGCATTAAATGCATTGAAATAACATGCATAGTTTTTTTTTTTTTTTTTTTTTTTTTGTGTGCTGATGTGGAACACATTTCTTTACCACAAATCTGTGCTTTGTTCATGAAAAAACAAAGCAACAGATTCCCCCTCACCAGAAAACACATAATTACCTTTTTCTTCACTCCCCTATCAGTTCGTACAAATATTTGGTACATGCCTCACTCCAATGTGAGAGCACTGGTGATTTGTTACTGTCCCAGGTACGTACAGGTGTACCTCGGTTTACAAATTTAATGCATTCTCCGGGATGTTTCGTATTGCAAACAATTCGTAAACTGAAATGCGGTTTCCCATAGGATTGCATTGAAAAACAATCCGCTCTGGAGGTCAAAAAAAGTTTAAAAAAAAAAAAGGCGCTGTAACTAAAGGTCACTGCCAGTTTTTAAATATAATTACCAGCTTTTTTTTTTTTCTTCACCTAAGCTCAGAAAATGAGCTGTTGCTTTCCTCCCAGCTAAAATAAATAGTTTCCTTTTAGTTTATTTCCTTGCGTTAAAAGAAACAATTTTCCTTTTAGTTTGTTTCCCGAGATAAAAGAAACAAAGTATCCTTTAGCTCTGGGAAAAGTGACAGCTAATTCTGTGAGCTATAGTGAAGAAAAAAAAAGCCAGCAATTGGATTTAAAAATCGGCACCAACATACACTTCGTATTGCGAAACAAATTCATGAAAAAATCGTAAACCGAGGCATTATTTTCAATAGATTG